ATGTGTATAAGAGACAGGGATACGACGCACCTCTCAAGCATTCATGAGAAAAACTGATTTAAAGATTTTCATGTTGGTAATGTACTCATCGGTAAGAGTGAGTCCACAACAAGCAGCGTGGCATAGCGAGTAAGGCGCCTGACTGTAATGTTGCGTGTTGCTGGTTCGAATCTTATTTTTACTAATTTTTTTTTATTTATATTGCATCGTATTATTGTGTATTTTTTTATATTTAACCTGAAAATTAATATTTTTATTATAAAATTTATTATATTTAAAATTATATAACTTATTTATTTAATATGTTTTAAACATTATTAAAGTTTATATCATTTTAAGTTGCCGTACAATTTACATTATTAAATCAGATAGCGTGTATGATTATACAATAAAAGACACCCTTACAAGAAGGGACTTTTGCATAAAACTTGTTTAAAGAATAAAAAGCAAAAAATAAAAAATTTGAAATTTATTACATAGCAAATACATTTCAGTTTAATAATTGTATGATCCAACTTAAAATGATATAAAGTTTAATAGCGTTTAAAGCATATTAAATAAATAATTTTAAATATAATAAATTTTATAATAAAAATATTAATTTTCAGGTTAAATATAAAAAAATACACAATAAAACGATGCAATATAAATGAAAAAAAATTAGTAAAAATAAGATTCGAACCAGCAACACGCAACATTACAGTCAGGCGCCTTACTCGCTATGCCACGCTGCTTGTTGTGGACTCACTCTTACCGATGAGTACATTACCAACATGAAAATCTTTAAATCAGTTTTTCTCATGAATGCTTGAGAGATGCGTCGTATCCTTTTAGCACGAATTAGTGGGAGGGGTGAACTATTATATGTATAAAATTTAGCCAAATCGGAGGGGGCCATGTCTGGTGTTCCCCTTGTTAGTTAAAATTTCGGCTTATTTGAGGGCTATATACAATATGGTATTCATAATATATAATAAAATCTTTTTGTATTTCATAAATGTAATATGTTAATTGTTCCCATATTGCATTTCTGAAACATAAAATAAGACTCATAAAAACAAAAAACTTATTAATATGTTTTTATTTAAATATTAGGTATATCTTATTGTTAGATATCTTACTTGCTAATATGGTATCCAATATCCTTCTTTTTCAATGACTAATTTAAATCTTCTCCGCATCGAATTTACTAAATTCTGTGTACAATCTGAAGATAATTTGTTGATGTGTATGATTTCTTAATTCTTCTCTAGTTCTTAATTGGCCAGCTATCCATGATGATTTCATTTGCACCCAAACATTTTCTATTGGATTTAAATCAGAAGATTTTGCTGGTCACCGAATTTGCTGGATGTCTGGATTCACTTTGAACAATGCTTGCACCAATCTAGAGGTGTGAACGGCAATGTTATCTTGCACTATTTTCACGATCGGATACTGTTCTTAGAGATACAAGCGTTTAATGTTAGGTTTTAATACTTCTAAGATTTCTACATATTCTTCGGCATTCATTCTTGGCGATATTTCTACGAGATCTATTAATCCACTGGCAGTCATACTTCCTCAAAATCCTATTGTGATTCTTCTGCTATAGCCAGATGGGAGAACGTATTTTGGATTCAATCGTTCTCCATCTAGACGCCAGACACGATAACGTTCATCTTCTGCGGATGAGAAGCTTTCTTATCCATCCACATTACAGCGTTCCATTCTTCTTGAGGTGTATTCAAATGATCTCTTGCGAACTGCATTCTTTGTCTTCTATGTTCTGGATTTAATTCTATTTTTTTTGCTGCAGCACGAGAGTGGACATTTGCAGTTTTTAATCGACGTCCAACGGTATTTACTGAAATATTTAAATTTCTGTTCTGTAACACAGTAGCAGCTGCATTGAACGGATTTTCATCGATTGCTCTAACAATTTCTTCATTGTCTTCCAGCGTTGTTTTCTGTGGAGCTCTATTATTTTTTCGATGATCTTTAAGATTATTCATTCCTGCTTCTTCATACTTTGTAATCCACAATGCTGCTGTTCGACGAGTGATTCCCATAGTGAGCGCAATTTGCGATATGTTAAGGCCTGCTTCATGTAAGCCGATTATTTTTCCTCTATCTGTCACATTCAAATTAGCAAATATATTTGGTCTGTCCATCTTGCCGTAATTACTTTATAACGTTTATTATTTTTAATATGTTATGTTTAATATTAGTTATGGATGTATTACTATGGCAACATATATATGGTGTAAAAAAATATTAAAAAAAAGCGATTTTCTTTCTTCGCACGCTTGCATTATTCTCTGTTTTAATATAATAATTGAAGATTATTAACCAATTAATGATCTTCAATTATTATAATAATGATTACTTTAAATTTTTTAAATGCAATTCCTATCTTTCATTGCATATTCTTGTGGCTTACCTCAAGAGTTTTTCAAAACACTATAATAAAATATTTTTTCTGTTAAGCACTTTTCGAGTTATAAGTCTCGAAAGTTGCAGTACCACATTATATTAATTTTAAGTAGGAGAGACTGAGGCTGGTTGATACATGGGGCACGTTGATACTGTAACTCTCGTGGTGAAAACTGTGGATAACTGGGAGTTTCACTAGGTTATTGGTCAGGAGTTGGCCGTGAAATGAGGTAGCTCGTTGAAAGAGGCAAAACTGACTTTATTGCTTTCGAATCGCGTAACCACGGTCTATATCGGTAACGGTCTCGAACATCCCATCAACCACGCATGTATCTCGCTTCCGCTTCGCCTTTCGACTCTCCCTCGTTCCGTGAAAAAACCCACGCGCGCGCCCTCGCCCGCCGTGCCACGGCCGGTAGCGCGACCAATAGCATGGCAGGCGGCCATTTTCTGTCCCGCGCCAATCACGGAGGCGCCATTGGTGGCGCCGACCCAGACTGTGCCTTACAGCTCGGCCAGCCTGACTCGACATTCGGGCCGAATGGACAACAAAACGCACGATATAGGTTTTACAAAACTAAAAAAAAAAACAAACAAATAATGTTTCAGACTAATGATTAATTAAATGGAATAAACTGAAAGAATAACTTTAACACAGGCGCAAATGCATCTTACTAAAATAAAGGGTAATTTATCACAATTGCAGATGCCTAACAACGCCGGTTAACAAACTACAGACTAAATATTGTTATCGTCGATTATTTAATCTTATGTTAATAAATAACGTATTCCGCAAGCGCAGGGACTAAATAAGGTAAATGATTAATTATAATGCCAACGGTCCGGCTAACAATAGTACCATCAACCATCGCCAAAACAAGATTCGTACACATGGTTTATAATCTGTATGCGCCTCTCTTCCTTTTTTTTTTCTCTTTAGTTTGACTTAAGATACATTAACGATGGGCTTTATCCAGGGCTTCATTCGATCCGGCGACAGTATGGAATTATATGGTCTTTGTGTAACGTTAAACCCTGGAATATTTTTTATTACGTACCTATTTTTATTAAGTACCTTGGAAACCAAGTAGGGCCCTTTTATAGTTAGGTTTTAATTTCTTATCCTGACCGGGCTTAATGACAGTATCCCTAATCAAAACATAATCGCCTGGACTATACTGCGTAGGTTTTTTGTGTCTTTTATCGTAATACTCCTTGTTGTAATTTTGGATTTTGTTGCTGGCCTCTATTGCTATGGTCCAACAAGCTTCGCGTTCTTCAATGCTATCTAAGTTAACCAGTGCCATTTTGTTAAGGAATTTAATTAGATTTGCGTCGGTGTGGTTTCTTTGGTCATAACCAAGGAAAATCTTGGAAGGGGAAGCCTTTAATGAAGCGTGAAAAGTGTTATTTATAACATACTGAATAGTGTTCAGATACTTGTCCCAATTTTGGTGATCCTCTACGACTTTTTTAAGTGAGGATTTTAAGAATCTATTTATTCTTTCCACCCGGCCATTAGCCCACGGAGCCGCTACCGCTATTAGTCTATGTTTGACGTTGATTTTTTTTAGGAATTCGGAAAACTCTTGAGAAGAAAAAGCAGTTCCCCTATCGGAAACAAGAGTATCCGGGTTACCGAAAATGTTAAATAGCTTCTCAAATGTTTGATCACTTCTTTAGATTCTGTGGATTTAACCGCGAACAGCCATGTAAACCTGGAAAAAGCGTCGACAACAACAAGGATATGTTTGAATTCGTCTAGAGAACCTATCACAGGCCCAAAATGGTCCATATGAAGAATAGCAAAAGGAACTGTTGGGGAATCTGTCTCTCGTAATTCGCCCTCTCTAGAGTCAGCCGAATTATTATTAAGTAAACATGTTAAACAGTTGTCCACATAATCAAAAACTCTTTTACGCAAAGAAGGAAACCAATAATTACTGGTTATCCCTTGTACCGTTTTCTCTACACCGCAATGAGCCATGTTATCGTGGTGTGCTCTTATTACATTGGTTATCATTGATTCGGGGATCGCAAAACGAGGTTTATCTATACATTTTCTGTAGACGAAGCCATCAATTAAACCTTTCATCCTCTTTAAACTCAAGATCTTCCGCTATCTGCTTAAGTTTCGCATCCTGCAATTGTCTGAATTGCAGTTCCCTCTCCAAGGGCATTGCTTCCACCGCGTATACGGCTCGGCTGAGTGCATCGACATGGGCCATTTGGCGCCCCTCGCGATGAATGACGTTAAACGTATAGTTTTGCAGCCTAAGCGTCCAGCGAGCAATCCTTGGGTTCAAGTGAGCTTTATTCATCGCATATACCAGTGCATGACAGTCCGTGACTACCGTAAAGTTTAGACCGTATAAATATATGTGAAATCTTTCAATAGACTTCACGATAGCTAACATCTCCAACTCAAAGCTATGGAATTTAGATTCTGCCTCGTTAGTGGCCTGGCTAAAATAAGCCACTGGAGCCCACACTCCCAATTTTTGCTTTTGCATTAAAATACCGGCGATAGCCGATGCACTAGCATCCGTGTGCACCTCAGTAGGTGCGGAGGAGTCGTACAAACGTAGGACGTGGAAAGCCATTAGTTCCTGCTTTAGCAACTCAAAAGCTTGGCGACAGCTTTCATCAAAATCGAAGGCAGCGGACCTCTTGAGAAGATTGTACAGCGGCTTAGCCTTAATCGTGTAGTCTTTAATAAACTTACGAAAATAGTTCGTAAGACCAAGGAATCTTTGCATTTCCACTATTCTTTTAGGGAGTGGAAAATTCTTAACTGCGTTTAAGTGTCTTGAACTTAAAGTTTAACTTCCGACGGAGAAATGATGTACCCCAAATATTCGATGGTCGTCTTCAGAAAATTACACTTATTGAGATTTAATTGAAACTCGTTTTGTTTGAGTAGCAAAAGCACTTGTTTAAACGTCGAGAGATTGTCTTCAATTGAAGTCGACGCGATGAGGATATACGTTGATATACACAATAACTTTGTCTTCTCTGATTAGAGGTTGCAATATTTGGACTAGCCTCTTCTGGAACTTCGCCAGAGCGTCACAGAAACCGAACGGCAGTCTCACATATTCGAACTGGCCATCTGGTATGGCGAAAGAAAAGAACTTGGTGTCATCTGGGTGAATCTTAATGTTGTGAAAACCATCTTTCAAGAAGCGTGAAGACCGTTTTGCTGCTCAGACGGGCGAGGCAGTCCTCAATGAGCGGAAACGGATATTTTTGTTTATGTACTCTGCCGTTGAGAGGGCGCAAATCGACGCAGAGTCGTAAAGAACCATTTTTTTTTAACAGTTACAACTTGAGCGCAATAAGGAGAACAGCTGGGTTTAATTATGTTCCGCGCTAGAAGGTCGTCTGTGAGCTCTTTCAACTGAATTCTTTCCGCCCAAGCCAGTTTTCTAGGTGCGTAGGCATAAACAGAGTCCTCCTTTAGCTTAACTCTAACCAGATACTCTTCTTGCGGGGGGGAGACGGAGGTATTTTCCACCTCCTGAATAACGGACAACAAATGCCTTTTCACCGAGCTGTCAAAATCAATATCTATATCTGCCAATGAGGAGACTACATCATTAGGGATCTGTTCTGTAACTCCCACCGAAGCAATCTCATTAAATAACTTGACTCTATCATTTCTCTCATCCTCAAACAGGTTTATCGTTAGCGAGATTTTATTATTTCTCAAGAAATCACGTCCGAAAACCAACTGGGCATTAATTGAATCAGAGCATAAAACCAATAAATTTACTTCAGCCGCGACACCTGGTAAGAGGTCTAATTCCACATTAGTGTCCACCGAACCACAAGTCTCAGTAGGAGTACTATTCAATGCTTTATAAGAGCAAGAAACATCGTTTAGAAGGTTAGAGCGATTAAAGGAAAACTCATACGCCGACGGATAAATAAACGAAATCGGGCTACCCGTGTCAATTAGTGTAGAGAAATTACAATTTTTACCATTAAGCTTTACAACCTTACACGTTGAGGCATCCGCTACAATTTTTTTACCACCGTCCTAATTGACGAACGTTACCGTCAATCTCAGGCGGATCCTCTTCAGTCTCTTCCACTGCTGCGACCGGTATTGGGTGTGTCTGTTGCTGACCCTTAGGCTGCTGCTCTTTGATCTTGAGCTTGGGGCACTCCGCTCTGACGTGATCCTTGCTGCGACAGTAGACGCAAAATAAATCCCTCGCAGGTTTCTGAATAACTGCCAGCTGGCCAGGGGAAACGCTAGCCTCTTTGCTTTTATCTTCCTTAATTACGTCGTTTTTGAACTTCCCAGGTTTGGAGTTCACCGAAGAAATTCTTTTGAGAGACTCTCCACAAGTAGAAGTTAGGTACTGCATCCTCTCCAGAAAAGAATCCAGGGAATCCATATTTAGCGATATTGCCGCCGCTTTAATCGACAGGTTAGAAATTCCGTCAATTAAAAGCTGCAGTATCGCGTCCTCTTCGGGGAGTTTGAGTCTTTGAATAAGTATCAACTTGTCCATCGCGTAATCTTGAAATGACTCAGAAGAAAAGACCCATTTCCTCGTGTCAATCTTCTGCATTATCACACAGAAATCAATCTTCCATTTAAAACGTTTGCGAATCGCCATCTTGAAATCGTCCCAGGATCTACTTATGCTTCCCGGACTCAAATCGAACCAACGACGCGCGGTCTTGGTAAGGTTAAGAGTCGCCGCCGACAACGTGACTGCCGTTG